GACTGCTGCTTTCCCTGAATATCAATACGATTGCAAATGTGATATTGATTTTATACAACAGTTCAATAAGCAATATTTTAATATTTGGAGTTACGTTCTAGACACATATTTATCACAATTGTCTGTTTTTGCTCTATTTCTCCAAAGAAAATACTTACAAACAAGCACAGAAGCACATCTCAGAGCGACACAGAGCGGCACTTCGTTACTAAATGAATCTGCATTTTGAATGAATCGGGTGTCAATGAATTAATTGCCCATTCCAAAAGAAGTCACTTCATTTCTGCATGAATGACCCATTTAATCGCCAGTGATTACTCTTTCAATGACAATGAGGAGCTTGAACGTAAACTGATTACAATTTTAGAGGAGCAATTCATAATCTGTAATTCAGCGCTAACAAGCAAAACAACGACGACCCCGTGTTCAGCAGCCCTGAAGAACATTTCGCTCATTAGAGACCACTGGATCATTTCATTTCTAAATGCAGAGACTGAAATGGCTGCTTGGAAAAGCTTACAGATGGCCTGCAGGTTGCTCTGCACACTGGCATCATCGCTGGCCATTTTGTATCGAGTTTAATGACTACCTGGCACAGTACTAGCATCTCTCTGGCATGTTCGACTGCCATCCTCACTATCCAGGGTGAAGCCCATGGCCAGATGCATGGGATTAATCCTGAGCCGTGTTTCGCTGTCACATTCAGAGCCAAACAGCCAGCCGTCAGCGCAGGCCCTGCCCATTAAACAGCTATCACATTATGCAGAAACCCATCACAATGGGCTGCAAAACAATTCATGAATTATTGCATCATAGCTTTGGAAAGTATCTCGAGTGAATTCATTTGGTTCCACTGAGAGGAGTAATTTTTCTTTATTTAATGCCTCACAAATGTGCAGTCTGAACTTGTTCAATGTCAGAGAATGGGCTCTGTAATCTAAAACGCATTTTATAACTGAATCTGAACTGCTCACACCTGGTATTAACATCCTCCGAAACCTTTCCTGATCCAATTTCTCGAATCACTCATGAAATCAGAGACCCTCCCCTCCATTCAGTCAGATCACAGCTGCTCAGGTGTTAATATGGTTTGTAAACAGGGCCTTAATTAGCTTCACCTTTGAGACTCTCCTGCATCAACAGACGGCAAACATGTGATTCTGCATTACATCTGCTAGACGTATTCTTTAGAGTGTTTGCTCATCTGCAATACGTCTACAGGACGTTTCCTATCAGATGTCAAATAGACGTTTAGAAGATGTCTTGAAGATGTTTATGATTTAGAAACAATGTAAAACTGACATCTTACAGACGTCTATCAGAGGTTTGTACACAGCAGATGCTTTCCAGATGAAGCGATCTTTAACAGACGTGTGCTATCTGGGTGAGTGCGGTTGTTCACGGTTGTTTGTGCGGACTGTTTTATTACACTGCCAAAACGCATGCGCACGTCACTTTACTGCCTGATTAAGTGCGCACCGAGTCTGAGTTCCATTGCAGCCGAGCTCAGAAGGTCTCCTTCAGGTAGTCTCGGATTCGGTACCCCGGTGCGCCCCGGGTCTGCATGGCAGCTTTCACAGAACCGTTTTTTTCATGTGAAGCATGGACTGCCAGTATGAAAGCGCCCTAAACCTCAAACAAGCTCACATGCATTTAACGCGTTTAGCCCTGTCAGGTGTTTTGGCAGACGCGTGTGCACTTTAATGCATTTGAGACGTGATTTCCCAGCGCATAACTTATATTTGTCGCTTATATCCTTATCTGTAAATGTTAGAAAGTCACAAGTATTTCCATTTTGCTCAAAAGACAGTAGCGAGTCTCCATTAAACTTCACAGACTTCAGTGAATGAGCGCCGGCGCGCATGCGCGTCAAACCCGGAACGCTGTAATTCTGATGAAAATATAGGCTGCGTTAAATAAACATCAAACATTACATTTAGGTTTAAAGTGCTACATTTAACACACGTTACTGTATTTTCACGAGAGCAGTAGCCTAACTGTACATGTGCTGTTGTTTTGCGGTATAAATGTAAAATAATTAGTTCAGTTGAGTGATGTAACAAAAGCGTTTCCACTGATACATTAAAAAACAACTGTATTTTCAAAAAGAGTCTTGCATGTGCCTTAAGTTCTGTCATCTTCTACATGCAGGAGACACTGATAGATTCCATCATTTGGGTGTGAAGACCGTAAAATAAGTGCCTCGTTAGGCTGCAGTCAGCGGTCCATTAGACATTTCATCTGTTTCTCAGTGAATGTGGCTGAATGAGAACATGAATCACACATTAGTATATCAATTCACAAATAGCATAGCATACTGAAATTCAGATCTGATTTCCCACGGGACGTTAGAGCGTGTCAGACTGAGGCTACGGAACGGCTCAGCATCATATTGTAAAGCTCGTCAGTAAAGGAGGTGCACATCAGAAGCCCATCATGCAAAGTAGACAGAAAGAACAATGGTAAGTTTTATATCATATTCAGAAAACTGCTCAGTGTTGCATCTGCGATGATTTTAGGAACATTAAACATCAGAGAGTGTCATAAGAGCATCCTTCACATATCATGATATTATGATACATATCACATATTATGTACACATATTCCTGCAACCTCAGTTCTTCTCAATATTTCCTTTTTTTCACAGTTTCAAAATTACCTTAAAATATTATTCTTTTGTTACCACTGCTTTTCTTTTCTTATTTACTTCTATTCCAATATAAACAATTTCTGTCGATGGGCTTGTAGAACAACACATTTCATTGCCGACACTTCTGCTGATTTATTTGAGAAATAAACTTTGACTTTGATTTTGTCTCTAAGCTCAGAAGGCTCACGCGGATCACATGATTCACATCTATTGATTAAAGATGCAACTGGCCTCAAGCCATGTAACCTCACTCCTAATGAAGTACACTTTAGGAGCAGGCTATATTTTCATCAAAACCAAAGATAAAACATGCATTGCATTTTTAGGACATGCCTTCACATCACTCGGTGTGATGACTTCTCATCTGAATATCATGCCAAACAGTAGCCTTATAACGAAGACATTTCTTTGTAGACATTTCACTGATGTTAGCAGTGTAAAACATTGCTCTGTATTTTCACACTAACTCACGTAATGTGTGTTATTGTCCAGTCCATCATTTACAGTGTTCACTGCATTTCTGTCTGTCCCGTTCAGTCTCTCAGCATGATTATCTGTGTATTTGTTTCCAGAACGTTGATACTCGTTGTCTTTCAGCCTTCCATCCCCATTAATCCCCAGAATCCTCACGACCCCCGAACACACAAAGACACAGGCGCCTGTTTGAGAATGAACACGTCCCTGTAGATCTCGCAGGTCTGGATAAGGAAGATAAAGCTGAGAACACAAGACCTCACGCTTCTCTCCTCACACAAAGAACAGCGGCCGCTCTTCACAAGCATCAAAACACCAGCAGAAAGCAGAGTTGAGAGGAGAGCAGATCAGCCTCTGAGACACGGGCATGCTTTACATCCAGCACTTCAGATATCGTGACAGTAAAATCAAGAAAACTGAGACCTGTGGCATTTACTTTATATTGCGGCTTTGTGTTTACATGAGCAGAGTGTGATTGTCTTGATTACAGGAGTTGCGTGTAATGTGTTGATCCAGAGAGTGTCTCTCTTATTCACATATACTGTGGCTGCGCTGCACCTGTTGTGCTCTTGTGAGTTGTTTGTGAGAATCTAGCGCTTTTGGCCTCAGGATAAACCACCCACACATGAGCGCTGGGATCACATGGCACAGAAGAACGGAGAAAAGTGGAATAGAGCCGTTCAACTTCACATCAATACTTGTGCTCAGTTACATAAACACAATCATCTCACTCACACACAGACTGCAATCTGTTTTCACACGCAGCAGCTGTGCTTTTGCTGCTGGTTTTGCATCCTTACCTGCAATTAAATGTGTTTTTAAAAACTTTTTCAGACCAGGGTTATTATAGTTACCGAAAAACTAAAACAGAAAACTAAAATTACTAAAACCAT